ACTAACAACCCCCCCCCCAGCCATGGAGGAAGTGCCCAGTGGCTATGCCGGATAAGTTTGATGGCTATCAAGCCATGTTTGCAGCATTCTTGGGACAATGCCAGCTGTTCCTGAGTTTGAGAGTGGAGGACTTTCCCACTGACTGGACGAAGGTAGGATTTATTATTAGTTTGCTCTCAGGCACAGCTACCCGTTGGGCTACACCCTTGTTAACGCAGCCTAGTCCTTTGCTGGATGACTTCCAGGGTTTTTGTCAGTATTTTGGGTTGATGTTTGAGGATCCCATTAAGGGGGAAACAGCAACCAGACGTCTTAAGTCACTGCAGCAGGGGAGTGGTTCATTACAAGATTATGTGAGTGAATTCTGGCTGTGTAGCCAGGATTCAGTGTGGAATGAACCAGCACTTATGGACACTTTTCAAGACGGCCTGTCTGATGATTTACAGGATGAACTGGTGAGGGTGGACAGGCCACTGACATTCGATGCCTTGGTTCACTTTTGCCTCCGGATAGACACCCGGCTGCAGAGGCCTCGCCGTGCATCCCAGGAGACTACTAGCGTGCCGGTTCATCAAGAGACTGCAGTCAAATGGGAGGAGCCCATGGAGTTGGGTGCTGCCAGACCTCGAGTATCATGCACAGAGATGGACAGACGGCATGCTGGGGGGCTGTGTTTTTACTGTGGGGATCCTGGACACCTAGCTGGGAGCTGCCCCAAGAAGAGTAGGAGGGTTGCACGGCCTGCAGCATTCCCTCAGCAATGAACCATCGTGTCGGGAAACCAGCACATCTGTGTGGCCCTGGTACCCCACTCGCCCAAGGTAACGTGCATCCATGGTGTGTGGAATCAAAGGGCGGATGCCCTTCTAGGAAACCGGAGAACTGTGCCCCTGCGGAGTCGCTTCCACCCTGGACTGTACTACCTGTCACATCCTGCGCTGCAGTTCATCATCCCATGAGAATACGGTCTGATACGGGATGCGCAGCGGAGTGACGAATGGGTGGAGCAACAAAAGGCGGAAGTAGGGCCGGCTTCCCCGTGGATTTTTGAGGGGAATCTTTTGAAGTATTGGGACCAGCTCTATGTTCCCGCAGGGCCCATCCATAGTTGGGTGCTCTCTCAGTTTCATGACGCTCCCGCAGCGAGACATTGTGGGTTTTTCCAGACATTGCGCCTAGTCTCCCGTATGTTTTGGTGTCCCTGGTTATGAAACGATGTGTAGAAGTGCGTGGTGTCGTGTGTCCAGTGTCAAAGGGCCAGGTCTGCGAGGGGGGCTTCTCCAAGATTATTGCAGCCCTTGCTGACCACGGTCCTCGCAGCACAGGACTTCGTCTCTGGGATTCCGGCGGTCCACCAGGTGGGGTGCTGCTATCTGGGCCGAGTGAGGAAGGATCACTGAAGGGCGGCTAAAAAGTTCGGCCACCGGTGTCTTGGACTGTGTCCCGTGGAGACCGTCATCAACCCCTCCCGGCCGCATCCCGAGCGTCAGACCCGGGGGAAGGGCCCTGTGGTGGGGGATAGTGTTGTGGCCCGGCAGGAGCTGTTAGAGCTGTCGCCAGACTCCAACAGCCGAGGGTCTTATGAACTGGTCTTTGAGGAGGTGGAGGACCTTGGACAGGGTGGCGACTCCGAGCAGGGCGAGGAGAGGCTGATTGGCCACCAGGTGGCGGCAGAGCATTGGATCAAAGGGAATGTTCATGAAAGCATTTGGGAGTTGTATCAGGATGCATGCAGGTCTACTCAGCGTAAAGGACAATGGAGTAACTACAAGAGGTGATTGCGAACACCTGAGGCTGATCAAGATCCCCTCCTGCTGATAAAAGAGACTGCTGGTGCCACGCCCTGGTTGCAGAAGTCAACATTCCATTCCTGTTCTAGTTAT